TCATTCCTTTCTCAGGTTGACTGAGCTTGATTGCCAAGTATGTCTGAGTCTTCACAGCACCTTAGAATATTTAGTGCTAGGAGAATCATCTTGCACATGGCTGGCTTCTCCCCTTTGTATTGGCACACAGCTCCCTCCACTCTTGTCTCCCTCCTCCTCTACACCAGCTAACCCCAGAGGCTATCACAAGGAATTGCTGACAGTCATCTTCACTGGGAGAACTTTGCCTCTTTCTGATTAAGGTCTCTTCTTCACTCTCTGATCCAGATAATCTGAAGCTGCAAATGGCAAGATGATCATTTATACAATAAATAGTGAAAATGGAATTCCATATAATTCCAAAATTCTCCTGCCTCTACGTCCATGTCCAGCTTTCAGATGCTTGCAGGTTTAATGCTCTGTTCTTTCTCTTCACTTCAGACTCACCATTGAACTGATCTTTGGGTTGGCTTATCTTGTTTGCTTTGACTTTTTTAGTAAAATCATCTCTATAAAGACAACATACATCTGAGTTAGCTGATAAGATGGTGTGTTTCTAACAAGAGACGTTAGCTCTGTCCCCAAAACCACCTTTTTTTCAGAGTCCCTGAAACATATTTGTGTTTCCTATGATAGATGCCTTCCCAGGGACCCTGCGGGAGGTGTGTCTGTTGCTCTTGTAGCATAGGGTGTATATAACAGGTGAGCCAGCCCCGAGAAGGCATTGGTAGCTACACAAGGAAATAATCTAGGTCTTTGTTAAAATTGGGGATTGTTTTGTTAAATTGGGGGTTGTTTACAGCTGCTGGGAAGTGATATTCATAGTCAAACTGAGAAGAGTACATCAGAATATAGGCATGGTATGTCTGATCAATGACTCACCTGGAAGGCTGTAAGCAAGTGCCCATGTTCATGATTTGTTTCATCTAAGATCTGTTTCTCACTGGGTGGAGACACAATTCCTTGTTTTGGGGGTGGTTCAATTGATGAAAGAGAGTGAGGACATGACAACAGACATGCATCTTCTTTTAAAAGGAAAAAAAAAAAGATAGTGCAAAGCATCTTTTTAAGGACAAAGTAATTGTATAATTTGGGAATAATGACCAAATGAAGCATCTTCCCATGCCCTTTGAGTTATGGGGACGCAAAGAGTTATGTTTGCACGCAAAGAGTTGTCGTCAATGGCTCAATGTCCAGCTGGAGACCAGTAACGAGTGGTGTCCCTCAGGGGTCGGTGTTGGGATCGGTCTTGTTTAACATCTTCGTCGCTGACATGGACAGTGGGATTGAGTGCGCCCTCAGCAAGTTTGCCGATGACACCAAGCTGTGTGGTTGGGTTGATGCACTGGAGGGAAGGAATGCCATCCAGAGGGACCTTGACACGCTTGTGAGGTGGGCTGATGCCAACCTCATGAGGTTTAACCATGCCAAGTGCAAGGTCCTACACCTGGGTGGGAGCAATCCCAGGCACAGCTACAGGTTGGGCAGAGAAGAGATTCAGAGCAGCCCTGTGGAGAAGGACTTGGGGGTGTTGGTTGATGAGAAAATGAACATGAGCCGGCTTCAGTGTGCGCTCGCAGCCCAGAAAGCCAACGGTATCCTGGGCTGCATCAAAAGGAGCGTGACCAGCAGGTCGAAGGAGGTGATCCTGCCCCTTTACTCTGCTCCTGTGAGACCTCACCTGGAGTATTGTGTGCAGTTCTGGTGTCCTCAACATAAAAAGGACATGGAACTGTTGGAACAAGTCCAGAGAAGGGCCACAAGGATGATCAGGGGACTGGAGCACCTCCCATATGAAGACAGGCTGAGAAAGTTGTGGCTGTTCAGCCTGGAGAAGAGAAGGCTGCATGGAGACCTCATAGCAGCCTTCCAGTATCTGAAGGGGGCCTATAAGGATGCTGGGGAGGGACTCTTCATTAGAGACTGTATTGACAGGACAAGGGGTAACGGGTTAAAACTTAAAGAGGGGAAGTTTAGGTTGGATATAAGAAGGAAATTCTTTCCTGTTAGGGTGGTGAGGCACTGGAATGGGTTGCCCAGGGAGGTTGTGAATGCTCCAACCCTGGCAGTGTTCAAGGCCAGGTTGGATGAGGCCTTGGGTGATATGGTTTAGTGTGAGGTGTCCCTGCCCACGGCAGGCGAGTTGGATCTAGATGATCTTAAGGTCCTTTCCAACCCTAACGATTCTATGACCTATGTTGCTAATTGTAATTTCACTAAGAATAACTGTGATACTGTAATAAAGACTTTAAAACCAGCTAAGGTATAATTCTTTTAGTCTGCCAACATAAGCTCAACCCAACTGATTCACAGAAGAGTGAAATTCAAAGTGTGACAAATGTTTCCTAGTCATTATAGCCCACCAGAGGAATATTTTTATTTGGCCTGACTGCTCGTGAGGGTATATTCAAGTTAGAATCATACAGTCATAGAAGAGCTCAGGTTGGAAGGGACATGGAAAGATACCTGATCCAAACTTTCACAGGAAAGGGAGCCTAGACATGGTGACCTAGTGCCCTGCCCAGTTGCACCTCGTAAACCTCCCATGATGGGGACTGTACCCTGTCCCTGGAGAGGTTGTCCCAGTGATTGACTATTCTTGCTGTAAAAAATGTCTGTCTTCTATTGAGATGAAGCCTCCTGGTACAACTTGCCTCCTTATCTTCTCCATGTGGCTCCAAGTTAGTTATTAATTTCTGGTTGCTTCTGTTTGGCAGAAAAGCACATGTGCTAGCATTGGCAATTGCATATGCCAGTTGCAAAAATGCTTGTACACCACATTATATATGCCAGTTTTCTCTAAAGGTACATTAAAACCAAAAACTACTGGAAGAGGCTTATGCAAACTTTCTTTCTGTTCACCTTGACTATTATTTTTACACCATAGTATGAATATTGAAACTTTAGCTTTACAAAGCAAGTTGCTCTTAACATGCAAACTGCTTATGTACGTTTATTTGGAGAGCACGCAAGAAAGACGTGTCATGTCTCTGACGTTGCTTTCTGAAGAGGCACTGCGGTATATCTTACTTTCAGTATAATGAGTTGTAATGTTTAGTTATTCTAAAGGTATGGTACAATAACAGATTATTCTTGTTCATATCTGTGTAATAATTGAAACTCCCTGATCACACTTTCCATTTTACACATTGTCAGAACCTTGGACCTTAATCTTGCTCTTTGATTGACAGTTGCGGCCGGGGAAAGAGCACTTGTATTGTTTGTGGTAGTCGCATCTGTTCAACTTGATTCAGTTGAGAGTATTTGCATATTCTTAAGTATTTCTTCTGAGAAGGCCTAAATCCTTCTCAAGTGTTTGATGCATTTTTGAAATTCATTCATAAGGTATCTACATGCACTAATAGTTCTGTATAATATTGCTGTGCATAATCTGACAGATAAGGCCAGTTTTTTAAACAAGGTATTCTTTGGGGATGACATATTACATTCTGACTTATTCTACGGGGTGGAAATGTCAAGTACTTTGAAAAAGGATGCTTGAATGTTTTGATTGAATTAATATTCTTTATTGAACACATTGCCAATCGCAGTAAAATGTAGTCTTATTGTGAGAACATTTTTCAAAAGAGTTAACAACAGGGCTTTTTTGTTTTATTTTTGTCACTGGAGCTTTATCACATATAATCATTCCTTTGCTGCTGATATTAGATGGAACACAGAAGTAGATTCCTAGATGCATTTAGATTAATTTGTTTGAATTGTTAAACTGTGAGCAATACCCTTATCTTGAAATACATCTTAAGCTTTTGAAATACAACTTACTTTTATTTTTTTATTTTCTTGCTTTTTAGATTTTTCCTCCAAATTTTGTATCAGTATTTTTTGAAGCATTGTCAACCTTAATTTCAGAAACCTGTCACTCTTGATATTACATGTACAGCACTAGTGAGAAGTACCATTGCTTTGAAGAATACTCAGGCATTGTATTTGAGCATTGTCGTGGTTTAAACCCAGCCAGACAGCTCGTTCACTCACTCCCCCCCTTCTTGCCCTCCCCCTACTCCCGGAGGGATGGAGAGGAGAATCAAAAGAATGCAACTCCCATGGGTTGAGATAAGTACAGTTTAGCAACTAAGGTATAACACAAATCACTACTGCTATCACCAATAATAATAATGATAAAGGAAATAACAAGGGAAGAGAATATTTCACCACCCGCCAACCAATAACTCACCCCCCCCCGACCAACCGAGCACTGACCGATACCTCCTCCAACCCTGCAGTCACCCAGCCCTTCCGTGTAACTCTCAGTTACACCCTGGCATGACGTGCTGTGGTATGGAATACCTCTTTGGTCAGTTTGGGTCAGGTGTCCTGTCTCTGCTTCCTCCTGGCTTCCCCTCCTCCCTGGCAGAGCATGAGCCTCACAAAGTCCTTGGCCAAACCAAACCATCATTGTTATCAGCTCTGTTCCCAGGCCAAAAGTCAAAACACAGCACTGCACCAGCTACCAAGAAGGAGAAACATGACTGCTACTGCTGAACCAAGCACAAGCATCAAACACAGATAGCAGTTCAAAAATATTAACTTGATGGCCTAAATCCGTTACATGAAGAAATATATGCATAATTGAAAACCATGTCTTGCCTAGGTTGGATGTCCTAGTCCAGGACTACCTGAGATTAGGCAAAGCTAGTCCAGTTTGCTATCAGAAGGAATGGAGATGTATTCCCACTTGCTTAAATGGATGTTTGCTGTGGATGCTACTACAGGCTTCAGCTGTTAACGACCTTGGATCTCATATGGAAGACCACTAACCATAATGAGTAACTTTTATTTTACCTTGCACTAGACAAGTGCTCAAAGACCCACTGTTAGTAACTGATGTAGTGTAAGAAAAGGGTTTCTGTCTTTGCAGAGGACCATAGCAATCCCTGCTGCCTGTGTACTTGAAAAAAGAATGATGCACATTTAATAAGTGTATTTTTTTGTTTTGTGCACATGCAGGTTTCAGTGTAACAGCACCTTTTACATTAGTTTTATTCTTCCTTTGCTTGCAGGAATCTCCTTCTGGACGAAGAAAAGCGCTTGCCACCAGCAGCATCAATATGAAGCAATATGCAAGCCCCATGCCTACACAGACGGATGTCAAGTTAAAATTCAAGCCTTTGTCCAAGAAAGTGGTATCTGCCACACTACAGTTCTCTTTATCTTGTATTTTCCTGAGGGAAGGAAAAGCCACGTAAGTTGTTGTGGGTTTTTTTTTAACCAGATAGCCTGCTTTGTGTTGCTTTTCAAAGAATTCTTTGGATAAAGAGCTTTCTGTATAGAATGGCAGAATTTGAGAGTATCCTTCAGCATACTTATCATTCCTGCCATACTTAGTTTCTTAGCTGAGTAGAAACTGTTTCTTACTCTGATTTTAGTCTTGTGTTCTTCAGAGACAAACAGCTTGTCCTCTAACCTTATTGTAAATAACAGCAGCTTAAAAATATCTACAGGTCTGGAATCAGCAGGATTTCGTTTGTGTGTGTGTGTGTTTGTTCATCCAACAATACCCTTAGCAGACTGCAAGGGAAATGTAGGAAGGAAGACTTACTTCTATTTCGTCTATTTATATTTCACAAAAAATGAAAGGACAAAGCCAGCTGTAAGTTGAGAGAGGGTGGAGTCACAAGTAAGATTTTTGCCTTGAACACAAGAATATCCTGTGGAATGAGTTCAGTCAGGCACTGACTACCACTCCCCCTTTCTCACTTGATTCTGTCCTGTATTTCAACAGCCTTTGGAGGGCAGAGGATACAGATTATTTTTGCAGATCCTGTAACTTCTGCAATTTCTGTCAGATTCAAGGTGTAAGATATTGACAGCTTCATGTGGCTGGAGGATGGACTGCTTGTCACCATCCTGTTTTGCTTTTTTCTTGTCTCAAGAATATGGGAAAATGAGACTGGCAGAACATAAAGAGGCGGAGGGGGAAACTACTGCTCTAGTAGTTCTTTTACCTCTTTTACACTTTTTTTTTTTCCCCTGCAAAAGGCTAACAGTTTATTTCCAGCTTTCAGTGCCCTGAATGCACTTGGAGACATTGCCCATTGCAATACAAGTGTCCAAAAACTGTTGCATGCACAGCTTTCCAGACTGCTTAAAGCAGTCAGCAGTGTGATCAGACCAGTTTACTCTGGGGTTTATACAACTGGGGCTTGAAAACCCTCAAGAATGGAGACTACACAAGCTTTCTGGACAGCCATCCCACTGCTTGTTGATGACTGCTCCAACTTTTATCTCACGTCAGATCACAATCTCTCTGCTTTCAATCTATGTCCACTGTCTCTAATCCTTCCACCTTGCGCCACTGTCTTCTCAGCAGTGCTGGCAAGCTGCTGCTAGGTCCTCCTGAAGCCATCTCTTCTCCAGGCTCAGAAAGTCCATTTCCCTGAGCCAGTTCAGCTCCAGCTCCTAATGATCTCAGTGGTCCTCTGCTGACCTTGCTCTGGTTTATCAACACCTTTTCCAGTACCGTGGGACCCAACACTGGATGAAGTGCCCTACATACAGTCCAACAACTCCAAGTAAATAGGAGTCATTACTTCCCTCAGACTGCTGGTTTTGTGGTCCTGTTTTAATGGGTCTCAGGATGTTTTTGCCTTCTTTGGCTGTCAGGACATGGTGCTGGCTCTCCTTAAGCTTGCTCACTGCCAAGATCCCCAGACTGTTTTCAGCAGAGGTGCTCCCTAGGCAGGCAATACCCAGTCTGTTTTATTGTAAAAAATTATTATAATTATTGTAAAAAAATTTGATTAGTCCCAATAAATATTCAAATTGGTTTAGGAGAGGAGAGGTAAGCCTGCTGTTGCTTCAAGAATGGCATCATGTACTTTAAAAATCTTGGGCTTTTTAGGAAACAAATGTAGAAAATCCATTTTTATGAATCATTGCCTGCTGTCATCTTTTCATCAAATGTCTGTTTGATATGAAAGGTGCAGTTACGTGAAAGATACATATATGTGATGCAGTCAAATAAGAATTGCAATTGGTCATTGATATGTAATGGGTTTTTATCTTCTTAATGAATGCAAATGTTTAGAAAAGGGATTTTAACGTCTATAGCAGCATCAGGAGTTCTGAGTGAATGTAATGATAGTTGTCACATGCAGGATGTGGACAGTAGGTCTGAACAAGCATTTTCATTTTAACCAAACAAGACCATATCAGCATTTACTGGCATTTCTAGAGTCGTTTAAAATTAAGCAGCCATCACTAAGTTGTCTCCTAATGCAAGGCAGCACTTTTTTTACCCTTTAGAATTTTTGGTAATAGAAAACTTTCCCTTCAGAAATGAATATACATAAGTGTATCCTTTTGTTCTTTTGCTATATTCAAGATCAGATCTGAGAACAGAGACCTCCCTGAAGAAAAGAAAACATAAAAACATATAAAGGATTTTTAATGATGTGGTAGTATCAGATGTGGTATTAACAGGCTGCATTTTAATGCCTGGTTTGAAATTTGTTGCTTAGGGATGAAGACATGCAAAGCCTCGCTAGTTTGATGAGTATGAAACAAGCTGACATTGGAAATCTAGATGATTTCGAGGAGGACAATGAAGAAGATGAAGAAAACAGAGTGAATCAAGAGGAAAAGGCTGCAAAAATTACAGGTTGGTTTTGCCACAGGAATGGTAAAATACAGTTTCTTTGCTAATGGCCAGCTGTGTTCCGTGAATTTTATCCTCATGCTGTATTTGTATTAAGCTTGAAAAAAAATCCCAACCAAAACAAGTTATAGGATGGTTTCATTGAAGAGGGACCCATCCGTAACTCAACAGAGTTTAATTAATATTTGTGGATTTAAAAGAGCGTTGATTTGTGAGGTGGGGGGAGGGTGTCCTGGTTTTAGGACAGAATGCACTAAGTAGGTAGCATTTTAGGGAAGCAAAGACCTGCTGTGAACAGAGGAGTAAAAAGATGGGGGAAAAGGATCAGTGAATGAGAAGACAAGAGAATGAGCTGAAGGGAAATAATGAAGAGAGTTTGTGAGAATGACTGCGAAATGAGTTGTGCCATGGGTAGGTGCTGAGGTTCTGCTCAATAACATGGTAATTCCAGGCAGCATACTTCTGCCTTTTGGTTGGGGGTGTCTTGTGGAAATGAAGTCAGGAGGCTGTTAAAGGAATTTAACAGAATTTGACAGTAAGGTTGTTTGAAGTGAGATAGTATAACCACATTTGAATTGCTGATGAAAATCCTTAGTGTGTCCAGGATAGCTGAACTAATCGATGCAAGTCAGATCAGGATGTGATGATGTTAAATTGTTGGTAGAGATCATTATGCAGCACTGCTCCAGATGAGTTCTGTAGGAGCTCTTAGTGTAAAAGAATCAGGAAAAGACAAATTAACTTCTGGTGCCAGCCTTCATGCCTGTCTGTGCTCTTTAAAAATGTCTGTTGAAATAAATGGACCCTTCTCTAAAGGTAAGGAACAGCATCCCAAACAGAAATTAATTGCTCAATCTGTTCTTGAAAGTCCAGAGAAACATTGGTTCAGTGTTACAAAACATTGCTTTTCATTGCTTCGTTTTGAGATCTCATTGCAATCAAAAGGTTCAGCCTAAAGCAGTTATTACTTAGTTATATTTTATGTTGTGAAAGGATGCAAATGTGCTTTCTCCATGCTTTACATATTCAATTAAATGTTTTGTACCCTGACCAAATCTCTGTTTATGCTGTATATGTCTGGCACAGGGCAGGTTGGAAAGTCCAGAATGAAATATTTGAGAGACAGGGATAATGTATTATTGGGCAGCAATATGCCCAAGAGATATGCCAGTCTGGTCACACTGAAGTCATTTGTCAAGGTTGTCTTCTTTTCCAATATAACCAGAATAATTCAGGTGCAGGTCAGAACACCGAACAAAACCTGACATGTTTATCAGGCCATCTCATAATCACAGAAAAGAGAAGGGCACGCAAAGGAGAGGCTACATAAAGTCTGTATAAACTATTGTGCCAGAAGCATTTTATTAAGATATACCTAGACACTGCCCTGAGGGACTTTATGGAAAACCCATGTGCAGAAGGACAGTAGTTGACAAGCAGCAGATCTTGCTCCTCAACTTTTTAGATTTTTGCAGTGTTCATATTTAAACAAGCCAAGAAACATTCCTGATCAAGCAAAAAGATGATTTAATTAGGCCAGTCTGTCCACTATCCTTTGCCTATGTAGTGAACATCCTTGGAGATGGATGGGAAAAGTGTGAAGTGCAGCACTAAGTCCTAGCTCCAGCTGTTTTAGAGGCATTTCAGCTTTTCCATCTACTTTTGTAAAGTCCAAAATTATCTGTTCTAAGCAAACATTACAATACCTTCTTGAAAGGCAGATGCAATAAATACTTCTGAACTGCACTATATCTTCTCATTGTTCAGCCTGTTCTGATACTGTTTGCCAATCATACAATATTGGGTTGGATTTTTGTAGATGGGAAAAGGAGATCTGAAGGCTGGGAAAAGCTCAGGGTTGAATGACTTGTGTTGATTACAACAGCTGAGTTGCTTTGTAAGCCTGGCTAACTTTGCCCGTATGTTAGATGAGGAGAGGGATGAGAGGTATGTTGAAGGAGAATGAGTACACATAGTTGCCCAAGCAAATGGGAGAACATAAAACACAGGGCAGTAAGTAAACATCAATAAATAAAATGTAAAGGTTCTATTTCAACATGTGTTCAAGACTGATTTCATTGGCAATTGAGGTGACTCCTGTAATAAATATAATTAATGGGGAAAACTAATAAACCACAGGAATTGCTGAAGCACCAAGGGAGAAAAGAGGTTGGAATCACTGTAGAAAAATAGGAAGAAATATAGAAAGAAGGAAAAGGAACTCCACTGATGTAGTGAAGTACTCTTTCTTAAAATTTACTTCAAAAATAATTGTGTTCACAGAATCCTATAAAGTTAATTGGGGAAGTTACATAAGCCTTTTGAAAGCTTGCTGTTACCAACATTTTCTCATCTGTTGCTGTGTTAGGGTGTTGGCAGCTGAGCAAGCTGGAATGTCTTCACTGACTCAGAGCCCCTGCGGCAAATCACTTCGCCTCAGTGTGCCAGTTTTCCCAACTGTAAAATGGAGATAGTGGCTATAACTACTTCTTGGGAATGATGGGAGTATTAGATGGTTAATATTTGTAAGCAAGCTTTGAAAAAGTAAAGTGCAAGTAGTAAAGCAGAAGGGTTTTTTCTTACTTTTGACTTAAGGTCTTCTCACAGAGAAACATTGGATGACTTGACTGAAACATCGTCATTCTCAGCCAGAGCTGCAAGAGATGCTTCAAATCTTTATCACAGACACTGCTCCTTTTTGCAGTGTACAAAAGTTAATTTTTTTACTTGGGCCCACAGTTAGTTTTATAGATGAACAAATATACCCACCACTAGGAGAACACGGGAGACCTGTTGAATGGGGCTCTAGATGGTGCAGGTGAGTTAGGAAATGCTGCTTCTCTTCTTTAATGTGTTGCCTAACTTGGGGTAAGTATCTGTGCCTCTGTTTCTTCAGTTGTGAATTAAGTGGCGCAATATGCTCTACCTCAAAAGCACTGTAGAGTTTGGTATAGTCAACATAGGAGCTGCTGCCATACAACTGACCTTGAGATCAGACTGAAAGATATTTTCCATTCGAAGCGTTACATTCATTCAAAAAAATATCCTTCCATCTCAGGCTTTTTGCCCCTTCTTTGCCAATATTTCTTGTTTAATTTCTTCATGTATAAAAGCTGTATCTCCACCTAATTGTTCTATGTGAAGTTGAAAATTATGTTTGTAGCCATGAAATATGTTTCAAATATATTGTTCCTACACTATTGATATAGATGAATTTAAACCTCATGGAAGTATTTAATGGCTGGACTTGATGGTCTTAAATGTCTTTTCCAGCCTAGCTGATTCTGAGATGCTGTGATCCTGTCCTTAGCCTTCAGTTGAATACAAGGTATTCCAACATACTCAGAATCTTGCAATCATAGAATACTTAGAGTTGGAAAGAATCTTAAGATCATCACATTCCAACCCCTTGAAGAAACATGGCTCATAACTCACAAACTTAGTGTAGTAATAAATACATTGCTTCTCTTAATGTTTTAATTGATACTTAGAGCCTCATGCTGAAGTTAATAGTTGGCTCTTGCTCCGTCTGCAGAGGAGCACGGTGACTGTCCTGGGGCACCACATGGACTGAGCAACGTGCCTATGTGCTACCTATTGCAGGAGTCTGAATCCCAGATGTTTCAAGAGCAGGCTTCTGCAGAGCAATATGTGTAACCTTTTCTTACCACTTGCAAAACCGTGTCTCTCATGTAAACTTCTGATACATGTACTCTTTGTCAGTAGCAGCAAGCTGCTTAAAAAAAAAGAGCAAGAGAGAATGAAAGAAAAAACCCCAACAGTGATTTATATGACATGCTTGTAGAACAAGCTAATGTACGTTTGTAGATAATGAGATTTATAAAAGATAATATAGGATATAAATCTCCAACCTACCATTTCCACACTCCAAAATATGACATAAACCATTTAATATTGTAATGAGAAACATTGTAGTGCATATGGGTGTTTAGGTTGGCAGATGGGACCAGGTGATTCAGACCACATCAAAGAATACCCTCTTTTTAAAGCTCTGAACTTAATTTGTTATTTTCTGACAATAAAAACTGAATTGTAATTGTTTTGGTTTTTTCACATGCTGGCATAATAAATTATAAATCATGTCAACAGCTCAGCCTGTTTTAAACTAGCAATTTGTTTGTACTAGTGTTTTATAAGGTCAACTCCGTTTTATTTGAGTACAGCAAGGTATTTTCCATTATGTATCTTGAGTCTTAAAAATTCCCTGAAGATAGTATTATATTCTTCAGATCTCTAAGGCGTATGTATGATTTTATACTGAAAAGTTGAGTTTTGGGGCAGTTTTGGTGTTACATTTTTAGAACAATAGTCTTGTTTGTTGGAGCTAAAAATAAGGAAGTGGGCATGGTGAAATTAGCTCTGTGTAGATAGATAAAAATGTAATCCCATCTAAGCATATTTTTTCTTTAAGGTCAAGAACAGTTAGGAAGTGTGGTTAAGAGGAATTCTGCTGTGGCTTCATCATTGTCAGCACAGATTATATCCAATAGATATTGGGAGAATAGATCATTCCACTTGGTAATTTGCAGATTGGTGCATCTTTGCAAAGCAGTTTAAATTTGGAAAAGAAATTTTTAACTTCTTTTATGTTAAAGAAGTTTTTTAACTTCTTTAACTTCTAATATGACTCAAATATTTTCAGGTTCTGGACTCTGCTTTCAGCTTCAGGTTTCTTATGCTGTGAAGGCTTGAAATTAAGGGTTATGTCAGTGTGTCAACTTGTGAAGGTGTTGCCCTGTAAAAAGGCATGAGTGCCCCCTACTAGGAAGTTCTGGATAGCTGTGGGCACCAACATGAGTTGGGACAATATCAAATACTACTCAGTTTTCATCTCAGTCCAACATCTTGCTCTTTGTAACTGGTTCATAGAACAAAGATTACTGTGAGTCAGTGACAAACATTTGCTTTCCCAAACAAAAGCCATGTGAGTAAAAGTTAAATTCAAAACAGCAGCAAACTGAAAGTGTTTTGAAGAAGTAACTTCTTGTATTCACAAGAAAACAAAGTTTAAAGGAAATCCAAGAATGACTGAGAAGTGTGCAGTAAAGGCACCTACATAGCTTTAACTTCACTGGTGACACCAGAAGACACTGGGAAAAGATGGGAGATGAAAAAAACTCTCAGAGGAGCAACGATACTCAACAAGCAGCAGCATCTCTCATCACAGGTTTCTCCTGCTTGTTTGCCAGTTGGAAGGACAAGGAAGGCTGTCCCCTCGCCACAAAAACCTGTGCTTGAGGTCTTTCAGAGATGACCCAGGCTCAGTCGCCATTAGTGAAACTGCATTTGTCATGGTTTTATTTGTTAGTGGGGGAATCAGAGTGGAATTTTTCCCCTTGAGCCAGAAGCCTCTAGGACCTGGTTGTTTTTTTGTTTTGTTTCTTTACTGCCAGAATTATGGAGTCATCAACATCTTGGCTACAATTAATGCATTTTAAAAACTATTAATTCATGGCAGTTCAGAGCCATGTATTGGATGGCTCCTCTAGTGTGAATAGAAGATGAAATAGGATTTTACCAAACAGAAAGATGTTACTGGCATAGCATTACAGAGGCGAATTAAACCAATACATATGTTCAGTTTGCATTCTCATAGCACGGTACTGATCATATCTTTTAGAACTATTAGATAAGTTCAACTTGTCGTAGGTCAGGATTTAATGGTGACTGATATGTAATCGTTACGTGATCAGAGTGTGTGTAGAAATAAAATATATGAAATGTATGTGTATTTATTCGTTTTCTGTAGCCTTAAGGGTTTTGGAGGGAAGTAATTGTTCTGGGGCTGTTTTGTGTTGATTGACAATGGTTTAACATTCAGGTTTTCTTCACAAGCAGGAAAAGTCTTCAAATTATATCTAGTACATCTAAGTTTTGAACTGATGTGCATACTCATCCTCATAAAACTAATTGCTGTTGCTGACACCAGGAATCCGGCAAGGTTTTGTTTATGTCTGTTAGCTGGTTTCTTGTTAAACTATGACTTGAAGTAGCTACACAGGTGCTTTGCTATAGGTATATCATTGCAAGGACTTGTTCTAAATGTGTTCTTTTAATTAACAATAAGTGTCTTCTCTTCTGCCTTCTCTCTCCCTCACTCTCTAATAATAGTGTTCGTTCCACTTCTGTTTCATTAAATGCCCTTGCCTTATGTTTGTCTTGACTGGCTTCTATTTACAGAAATTGTAAACCAGTTGAATGCTCTGAGCAGCTTAGATGAAGATCAAGATGACTACATAAAGCGAGCAAATATGCCTTCAGCTAAATCAGCCAGTTCCTCTGAAGGTCTATGAGCTTTCCTCCTTTCTTTCTGTTTCTGATTGTCTGTATTTACTGTGACCCATTACCTTTTGACTCCTGCTTGTATTCAGCTGTCAAGTTTTATCTCTGTTCTTCCACCCGGCATGACTCTCAGTAATTTGTAGTGCATCCAACAGGTAACAACATGATAGAGAAAGAGCCTATCTCGTCTTCAGCTCCGTTTGTCATCTGATAATGAACAAGAAAGGGAAAAGGGAAAAAGAATCACAAAAAAACCCCAACACCAGACCCCAAGCCTAAAACATTAATTGTGCAGTCAGTAATACTTGACCTCTCTAACATGACAGAATGCCCCTGCTCTGAATTTACGTGCATAATGCATTCAAAAATTAAAATTTCCTGCCTATAGTTAACATTTATGTGAGCAACCAAAATTAAATTGCTGTATTTAGCTTGCTAGAAGTTCTGCAACATTTATTTAATGAAGATAAATAGTAGTCATTTCTGTTACATAATGTTCTGATCAGAAAGTTGATGTTTCATTCATTTCACTGTTTTTTTTTCCTCCTTTGTTGATGTGTTCACTGAAATGCATTACCTTGGTTGTGCAGTTCATGCCATACCCTGGTGCAGTGTTTCAAGGGACTGTTGATACAGGGGGGTTTTGAGCTTCAACTATGTTAGGTGAACAGTTTGTATTTATATTAAAGCAATATTCTGACTTGTTTGTAGAGCTTATCAATAAGCTTAATTTTCTGGATGAAGAAGAGCAAGACCTGGCCAACGCTAGTACAAACCCTTTTGGTGATCCCGACACAGCAGAATTAAATCCATTTGGAGACCCTGATGTAGAAGGTAATAGATTTGTTTTGCACAATTCATTGCTAATTGCAAATGTTTAATGAAACATGATTTATTTTTTGTACAGCTACAAATGAAAAATTGTATTTTGCTTAAATACAGTAATTGCATGCAGTACTGAGGTGTAGCAATAGCAACGATCCAGTTGCCAGTGAAAAATGGATTTATCCTTGGAGTCACATCCTCATGTGTATTTGCCACTGGGGCCTACCAGCTAAGAATTGAACCAGAAACTTTTAGACCCACTAGTACTCACGTTGTGGTATAAAAGAGCAACACATACTGTCAGGCACCTCTGTTTTTGCCTTTATTATGATAATTTAATTGTATCTCTTTCATTCTTCTTTTTTTGTTTTTATGGCTTCCTCAGTTAAGCCTTCTGGCATTACACCTTGCACCACATGGTAGGTGTTAATCCCCTTTCAAGACTGACATGCCCATTTTTGTTCTCTTTAAGCGAGACATACAACCCCTGTAAATTTTTCTATGATGGGGCTACAGAACTGATGGACAGGGGTAGAGCGGTTGATGTCATCTACCTGGACTTGTGCAAAGCGTTCAACACTGTCTCACACGACATCCTTGTCTCTAAATTGGAGAGACATCAATTTGATGGATGGACCACTCCGTGGATAAAGAACTGGCTGGGTGGCCGCACACAAAGAGTTGTGGTCACTGGCTCAATGTCCGGCTGGAGACCAGTAACGAGTGGTGTCCCTCAGGGATCGGTGTTGGGACCGGTCTTGTTCAACATCTTCGTTGCTGACATGGACAGTGGGATTGAGTGCGCCCTCAGCAAGTTTGCCGATGACACCAAGCTGTGTGGTTCGGTTGATACGCTGGAGGGAAGGAATGCCATCCAGAGGGACCTTGACACACTTGTGAGGTGGGCTGATGCCAACCTCATGAGGTTTAACCATGCCAAGTGCAAGGTCCTACACCTGGGTTGAAGCAATCCCAGGCACAGCTACAGGTTGGGCAGAGAAGAGATTCAGAGCAGCCCTGCGGAGAAGGACTTGGGGGTGTTGGTTGATGAGAAAACGAACATGAGCCGGCTTCAGTGTGTGCTTGCAGCCCAGAAAGCCAGTCGTATCCTGGGCTGCATCAAAAGGAGCATGACCAGCAGGTCGAAGGAGGTGATCCTGCCCCTCTGCTCTGCTCTTGTGAGACCTCACCTGGAGTATTGTGTGCAGTTCTGGTGTCCTCAACATAAAAAGGACATGGAACTGTTGGAACAAGTCCAGAGAAGGGCCACAAGGATGATCAGGGGACTGGAGCACCTCCCATATGAAGACAGGCTGAGGAAGTTGGGGCTGTTCAGCCTGGAGAAGAGAAGGCTGCGTGGAGACCTCATAGCAGCCTTCCAGTATCTGAAGGGGGCCTATAGGGATGCTGGGGAGGGACTCTTCATTAGAGACTGTAGTGACAGGACAAGGGGTAACGGGTTAAAACTTAAAGAGGGGAAGTTTAGGTTGGATATAAGAAGGAAATTCTTTCCTGTTAGGGTGGTGAGGCACTGGAATGGGTTGCCCAGGGAGGTTGTGAATGCTCCATCCTTGGCAGTGTTCAGGACCAGGTTGGACGAAGCCTTGGGTGATATGGTTTAGTGTGAGGTGTCCCTGCCCACGGCAGGGGGGTTGGAACTTGATGATCTTCAGGTCCTTTCCAACTCTAATGATTCTATGATTCTATGATATGACTTTGGCCATAAAGCCAGGAAGGAGCACCAAGACAGAAGGCATATTTACTGTCCTCAATGCCATATTCAGATATGCAAACTTCCATCTGGTGCCATCAGAAAAAGAGGGGATATTACTGTATGACTTGCTTAGTTGCAGCTGCTTGAATTGCTAGCCCGTAGTTAATTCTCAGGTTTGATGCTCCAACACTTTTCTTCCAACACAAAATATCAGGGAGCATTTACTACCTTTGACCAAACTCCAGGAGCCACTCTTTAATGGTGGTGGAGAAGAACCAGCCCAGACTACAGCCATGGGATTTCTAATACCAAGTTTAATGAGGATACATTTCTGAACTGCAGTTCCCACCTGTGCTTACTCTCCTTTTTGGGAGAAGCTGACTGTTTACTCACAACACAGCTTTTCTGCCTTTGGAGTCCACAGAGGCCAATGTGGGTGGTGATCAAAGTCCTGTCATACTTTGGCTGTGGTGTAGCCTCACAGCCTGTGTTTCTCAAACAGGGATTACACTGTCTTCTGTATTTTGCCAGTGAAGCCATAAAGCCACTGTTCTGGGCTCCTCCTTCTGTAAAGTTGTCAGGTGTTTCTAGAGCTGCAAAAGTAAGTTGTTTCAGCTTTGCAGATGCCGATATATATGGATTAGGTTAGGTCTAAGGAAGAAGTTCTTTACTGTGAGGGTGCTGAGGCACTGGAATGAGTTGCCCAAAGAAGTTGTGAATGCTCCATCCCTGGCAGTGTTCAAGGCCAGGTTGGATGGAGTCTTGGGTGACATGGTTTAGTGTGTGATGTCGCTGCTTATGGCATGGGGGTTGGAACTTGATAATCTTAAAGTCCTTTCCAACCCTAACTGTTCTATGATTCTATGATTAGGTTCTGGTGTCTGGATCTTCAACTTTGTTTCCTATCTGTTCCTTGCCTGTGAATTTTCTTAGGACCGTGGAAGGAGCCAGAATAATGAGGGATATAAAACGCCTATTGTTATCCATCTCATTCTCCATATACATCTTTCTCTAAGAAACTCAGCCTATATTCCTTTCTTTCTTCTCTGCTCTAGAAAGAAGGACCCCCTTCTTCCTGGAGAAAGCTGCACAAGTCCCATGGTACCTGAACAGTTGTCTTCAAACTCAGCTTTCCTTTCCAGAGAGAACTTGCTCTGGCAGAAAAGCAGCAGGTGTTCTGACCACAAAGTATATGGACTAACAGTTGGTTCCTTCTCATCTCAGGGACAGGACAATATACTTAGTTGTTTCTTAGTGCTGGAATAGTTTATATCCAGTTCACCATGAACTGCCTGCATCTAAGATACTGGTCTGCTTATGTTCCCAAAAGACACCCCCCCCCCCCAATAGATGTGGTGCATGTTTTTTCAGTCGATTCTGGTCCCTTTGGTGGCATCTAGCCTTTACTGCCATCTTCAATAGAATCATGGAATCATAGAATAGTTAGTGTTGGAAAGGACCTTAAGATCATCTAGTTCCAACCCCCCTGCCATGGGCAGGGACACCTCACACTAAACCATGTCACCCAAGGCTCTGTCCAACCTGGCCTTGAACACTGCCAAGGATGGAGCATTCACAACTTCCCTGGGCAGCCCATTCCAGTGCCTCACCACCCTCACAGTAAAGAACTTCTTCCTTATATCCAATCTAAACTTCCCCTGTTTAAGTTTTAACCCATTACCCCTTGTCCTGTCACTACAGTCTCTAATGAAGAGTCCCTCTCCAGCATCCTTATAGCCCCCCCTTCAGATACTGGAAGGCTGCTATGAGGACTCCATGCAGCCTTCACTTCTCCAGGCTGAACAGCCCCAACTTTCTCAGCCTCTTTTCATACAGGAGGTGTTCCAGCCCCCTGATCATCCTCATGGCCCTCCTCTGGACTTGTTCCAACAGTTCCATGTCCTTCTTATGTTGAGGACACCAGAACTGCACGCAATACTCCAGGTGAGGTCTCACAAGAGCAGGGTAGAGGGGCAGGATCACCTCCTTCGACCTGCTGGTCACACTCCTTTTGATGCAGCCCAGGATACAGTTGGCTTTCTGGGCTGGGAGCACACACTGCCTGCTCATGTTCATTTTCTCATCAATCAACACCCCCAAGTCTTTCTCCACAGGGCTGCTCTGAATCTCTTCTCTGCCCACCCTGTAGCTGTGCCTGGGATTGCTCCAACCCAGGTGTAGGACCTTGCACTTGTCATGGTTAAATTTCATAAGGTTCATAAGGTCATGGACATTTTTGCATTCTTCTGGCTTTGTTCTGAGTACTTGGACAGTCTCGGGGCCCAGACAGCTGAGTCCCCAAAGAAGTCCCATTTACGCAGCTGTGGGCAGCAATGCTGAGTTGTTGGGTGTGTGTGTACCAAATATTCCTCCCACACATTGTCACCATCATGCAGCAGTCAACGTACAACAACATGATAGGATTTTCGTAAGTAGGGTGTCACTAGATTCTTCCTATGGTGTCACAAGTTGTTTTTCATTTGGGAAGGATGGAGCTTCTGTCAGGTTTCATGGAACAGCAGTATGTCTTCCTGGAACACTGAGTCAAGTGGAAGATCTGAGATGTTGCAGGCAATCAGACCAAGAGTGGAACACCTGATGTAGTCTTTTTAAAGCTTTCACTTTGTAATTAGTGGCTCCCCAGGGGTTCTTCTAGTCACCTTAGACTCCCCTGAGAAACGCTGGCTCTTCTATTCCAGAGCTGTGTTGTCCCTATAATGGGCACGTCCCAGTGCTTTGCCTTCTCAGTGTATGCCTTTCCTCCAGTCATCTTCCTCCACAGAAAGTTGAGGGGAAAATAAAAGGGTGCCAAGATAAAATTAGATAATGCAGTTCTGGTTTTTAGCACTAGCTGGAATCTTCTATGTATGTCTGTGGCTAGTTGGATCAGTGTCTCTACATGGGGAGCACCTAAACCTTACCCGTTTGGGGAGATTTTCTTTCATTTTGGACTACATTTAGAAGCTACACAGTACTGGAGCTGTACTCACCTTGTTGCCTTACTGCAGAAGGCTGCCTTTGTTTGTTTCCCTTTTGGCCACAGATATATTTCCTCGTGGTTTAGGTTATTTCTTCTGTTTTGAGACCTCAGTGGAACTTTCCTTGCTGCTGCCATCTCTTTTCAGGAAGCTCTGTGAGACTACGCCTGCTTGTTTGGTTTTGCATCCTTAAGTGAATGTGACCTCTTTGGTGGCCACCCCAGGAGCTTGGGAGCATAACAGAGGTTCAAGAGTTTAAGGCAGACTTTCTCGTACAGACTTAAAGAGTCACGTTAGCTGCTTCACTTGTCATGATC